TTATATCTTTTAGTAAATATAACAATGACATAAAGAGAATGAAGAAAAAAGTATCGTATAATCGATAGAATTTACTTTTAAAAGCTTCGATTTACATAACATTTAGTCTTTATTTGTCAATCATTCTACCACATCTATCACATTATTTTTTCTACAGTATTCAATTTCAACCACACATTTTTCATTAAAATAATATTACACATAAATTAAAAAAAAAATTCCTTCCTTTTTAACTACACATTTCAACATCAATCGCTATTTTATAATAAAGTTTTTGAAATTAAATGAGCACAAACAGGCCCTCGATATACAACTTGTATAGTCGAAAAGTAGTTGAATATCTAAATCCAAAATCCTGGCACAAGAAAGAGCAACTAAATCTCAAGTAGGTCCACTTAGCTTAAAAGGAGTGGTTGTCCTGATTAAATTGCAATCCAATTCCTACAGCAATAAGGGAGACAACTTGTGGGAAGAAGAATCCTCTTTCCTAAGGCAGATAGATGAGTAGATGAAAGGCAAAGGCAGAATTAATAAATAGTGGGTCGGTTCCCCAATGCCAACGCCAGTGCCGGAATATACTACAAATGAGATTATATTTGAAATGATGTCTTGTTATTAGACATTTGAAAATGATGTATATCAAGATTTCAGTGACGGATAGCTAATATGAGAGCCAAGAGCCGAAAGAAAAAGGCAAATGAAGAATAACTATATTGTATATACTAGCCTCTTAGGATACTTGCTACAAAACTCATTTTATTGTCTTAACCAAAACAACAAAAATTGAAGAGTTGATTCGATAACTATGTTCTTATATGAAGAGGAGTCAGAGTGAAATCAAACACCTAAAGGCGCACTTTTGTCTACTTATTGTTGGGTCGATCGCCATTAGATTACATAAAGAGAACTTGGGATAAATCGGAAGTTTATTCCAAGGACGCCAACACTTCTTCACGGAATAATCTCTCTCATTTTAATGCAAATACATTAAACAATATTATAGATATATCTACTTATGTCAATACGTAGTACAAACATTTTTCCCTTTATAAGAAACTTAATGAGTCGAGTTTTTCTTTGGCACAACAAATTTTCTGCTATTTTTAAAACTTTTAATAAGAAAAGCCCTGCTTGGTAGAAAATTAAAATTTGGATTTTAATCTAATTCAAACAACAATCCATTTTAAACATATTTTTCATAAAATTCACAACTTTTCAAACACACATTTCAACAGTTTTTATCAAAATCTACTAAAATTTTAATATTAATCTTACCAAACAAGGCTTAATACCTATTACCCGAAAGCAATGAATAGGCAATCAATTAGTTTGCTATTTTACGTATGAACTGAATGTCTTTTCTAGATTTTGGAGAAGTCCTGATTTATCATAAACGACACCAAAACATAAAAGCACACATTATACTATGTGTTAGTGTCTTTTCGTTCGCTAACACAAACTGATATGATAAGACGTAAAAAATTAAGTGGAAGACAACTGAAAGTACTGTAAAATGTGAACATATCTCAACTCGTCTAAGAGGAGAGTTGAGATCTGTTATCCCGAACTTGTGTCATTCTAATATATTTTTGAGAAGTTGGTATGTCATTCACTTCTTAGCAAATTAGAAGATGCTAATGTGTAGTGTATTGATGTCAAAAAAACTCGTTGGCTTCTTTTCATTTTCGGAAGAAGATGTGATGTTTCGAAATGTCAAAAATATAGAATTTTGCTACAAGTACACCAAGCTATAGCCCCCCTCACAATAGAGAGGGCTGGCGATTTTTTTGTTAGGGACGGACTCTCCTATTGTGAGAGGGCTATATACCAAGCTATCACGAATAGCAAAACCCAAAAATGTATTGCTAGGGTAGCAAACTCAAAACAGTATAGCAGATCTAGAAGAGTGGGGTGTGTGTGTGTGTGTGTGAGAGAGAGAGAGAGAACCTGGAAATCTTTGTTGATGAGCATTCCAACGGTACAAAATGCAGTAGCAAAGAAACAAAAAACCACCTGAATCTCCAATACTAATGTATAAGTAATAGCCTGTTTAGCCTTCAAATACATCAACTCCACCAAAGGCAGAATGAGTCCATACAAAGCTGCAGCAGCAAGTGTCAAGAAAAACCCTGAAAGATACTCCTTATTCGATTCACCCTCTGGTCCATCACTGCTTGTATGAAGACCCAAAATTCCAGCCCCAACAGTCAACAAGACGATAGCGTTTATCGAATACCCCGTGAACTTCTGTTTAACAAGAAGAAATGCAGATCCTGCTGTGAAAGCAAGCTGGGTAGCGACAATAAAAGCAGAAGTCGAAACTGGTAGTTTCGCAACACCATAGGCGTAGAGGTAATCATTGAGCCCGGTCAAAACTCCGATGGCTGCTGAGACGATAAATACACGAGGTTTCATTAAGAAGATCTGGGTTTTGGTGGTGGCGCCGCCAGTTTTGAGACGGTTCAAGTATGCTATTGTGAGAGGGATGAAAATGATTGGCCAGCCACCGGTTACGAGCCAACTTGAAAACCAGATTCTTTTGCCGCCTCGGATGAAGTAGAGACGCATGACTAAAGGACCACCACAGTTGCCTATGGCTAGAATTATACAGTTGAGGCCAAGTAGGGCTTTCTTCATGGTGTGGTTAGCTGGAGTTTCCATGTTTACTGTATACAACAAACAACACGCAGAGGAGCATAAATATATGACAGAGAATATAGATGGGCTAATTATAATGCTTGACCATTTAGCGACGTTCTACTCAGTGTTTTCTTAAACTTGTGATTGTAAATTTGAATGGAAATTTGCAGTTACAGTCATCAAACTTCCGCAAATAAAGCACACAAATCTATAATAAATATTTTATTGCGTTTCTACCCGAATTTTCATCTTCAATGTATATTGGTAATTTGGTATTTGTCCCAAGGAAATGGTCAATTTTAAAAAAAAATTTTGGTCAAATTGATATATGAAAATTATCGAGTCAACTCGTCCAATTTTCTCCAAATACGTTAAAAAAGAGAATTCGAGAGTATGTTTGATAAAACATGACTTCTATTTACATATTTAAGAGAATTCACAACTTTGTATCACATTGCTTCCACATATTCCGTAAAACTCATAGCTTATAACAAATATTTTCTTGCGTTTATAACTCAAATTTTCATCTTCAGTTTATGTTTTATTTGCCCTAGGGAAATGATCAATTTTCTATTTATTATTATTATTATTTTTGTCAAAATGATATATGAGAATTATCTAGTCAACTTGTCGAATTTTCTCCAAATACGTTGAAAAGGAGAATTGGAGAGTATGTTGATAAAACACGACCTTTATCCAAATATTTTATAGGATTCATAACTTTGGTTTACATTACTTCCACACATTCCATAAAATCCTTAGATTAGAATAAATATTTTCTTGCATTTCCAACCCGAATTTTCATCTTCAGTTTATACTGGTATTTGCCCAAGGGAAATGTTCAATTTTTTAATTTTTATTTTTGTCAAAATTGTTATCTGAGAATTTTCCAATCAACCATTCCATTTTCTCCTAGTACGTTAAAAAGGAGATTTGGAGAGTATGTTTGATAAAACATGACGTCCACATATTTCATAAAACTCACATCTTTAATTCACATTGCTTCCACACATTTTATAAAACTCATAGCTTATAATCCACAAAAAACTTTACCAAACATTCACAAAATCTAACACTGTTATGACACTTGTGCCGGTAAGTTGGCATGTCACGTAACGCTTACATGAAAGATTCGTTGCAGTATAACTGTTAATTAAATAATTTTCATAAATTGCAGTAAGATTGGTGAAATTTGAAATGAAATTGAAGTTTACTTGCTCAATGAAAGATAGTGACCCAATTGAGATACAGTATTAATATTTGATGACCCAATTGAAATTAAATTTCGATGACTTCAAATAGCATTTACTCCTTTCTTGTTTGTCCTAGCATACTTTGAGACAAATTTGAAGTTGAAGACTTGAAGCCTTCAAACTTTCCATAAACAAAGAACACGTGTCTTCAATCACCATTTTCTAGGACTTTAGTCCTTAAACTTTCAATTTTTCTTTATGTTGGTCCCTCCTAAAATAAAACCTGATAGCACCTGCCGCCCGTTGAGGATTTTTCAGAGCGAGTAACAAAAATTAAAATATTTATGTCTAATTATTTATTTACTATTTAATGTTATTTTTATATTTTTAAATACAATTTATATTGAAAGTCATAAAAATAAAATAAAATTGACTATTACTGTTTAGTGCGTGAATTGGGGGGGAAAAAAAAGTTTGACGTCTTAACAGTAAAACGAATAAAAAAAAAGGAAATCTAATTGGGGATCATGCAGTATATTATAAGAGTTTAGGGACAATGACTATAAAAATATTTCTGATGTGGCAATTTGTATGACTTTCTCTTAGACTGTAGGCCAGGTTTTTACCGTAAGAAGGATCAATAATTGAATTGTGTGCACAAGGAACATGGCTTCATTGACAGCAAGACAAGTTGTAAACACTTAGGGGAAAAATAAAAAATAAAAAAAATTGTGTGCACAAAGAACATGGCTTCATTGACAGCTAGACAAGTTCTAAACACTTAGAGGGGGTGGGGTGGGGGGAACGTTTTTATATTCAAATATTGATGTAATAAACATTTTTCTAATCAGTCTCACCATTATTGACTCTTACCCGCATTCCATATCTTGATCTAAGGGTGGTAAATATCTCACTTAATCATGTTGTGATAGTAAAATTTCAAAATTTGAGATAAATAATAGGATGGATTTTGCTAGATGTACATTACATTGTCCATAAAGCCATCCATAATGCTGAGGTGGCAAGAAATTGGACATCCCACATTTTGAACTCAATTTAAAATCGTATAAACAAAAAATCAAATTCCGTAGCCTTCAGATTAACAAAATAAGCCAAGTCGATTTGGCAACCCTTCATATTAGCAAAAGCAAAAAAGATTACATCCCGTAAACAAAAAATCAGAATCGACGGCCTTATATTAACAAAATAAGCCAAATCTATTCGGCAACCCTTCATATTAACAAAAGCAAAAAAGATTACATCCCATAAACAAAAAATTAGATTCGGCAGCCTTATATTAACTAAATAAGCCAAATCGATTTGGCAACCCTTCATATTAACAAAAGCAAAAAAAAATTACATCCCATAAACAAAAATTCAGATTCGGCAGCCTTCATATCCCTAGCTTTGCATGCTCTCCTGCGTCCCAAAAATCAGTTTTGCGTGCTCCCTTGCATCCCAAAATGATGTGACACATGCGAAGATGAAACGTTATGAACTTGTGCATCCTCAAACATACTAGTGTTTGCGACATCGGAGTTGACAGGAGCCTGCACATGACTCAAGAAAAAATGTTAGTTCAACTTAATTCCATGCAGTACATAATTTGCAAGCGGACAGTTATAAGGACCCAAAATTTATATCTTTTTGCGACCCTTTGATTTCTTTGAATGTGTCTCCAACGGACTTTTTTTGCGCAGCTTTTTTGGTGCATCCTTTCGTTTGGTGAACTTTGGATCAAGAATGTATATGTTTGCATCATTCGTATCTTCAAATCCATGCATTTCAATGCTATTACATTTTGATAAAGCCAATTCGGTTGCTCGGAATTCAATCCACCGCAAGAGATTCTTTGATCGTTCTTCATTTCTCGCTACCAAGTCAGCCATCTTCGTAAATGCAGAACACAACTGCTCATACCTCACTTGTTCAACAGTACAAACCAAACCATCATACGTGGTTGGGACCCGCATGTACTGTCTACTAACATCTCTCCTCCACTGCCTCAGAACATACTTTTTAGGCAGCAATGACACATCATTTTGTACTAGTGCTGAGATGGCGTGCTTGCAAACGATACCTCGAAACTCAAACAAATGACAGTTGCACTCAACCTCACAACTATCTCTACGAAAACAAACTGTAAACATTTTTTTTTCTTCATCCCTCCACTGCTCTTGATATCCTCTCACACCTGATACTTCGTTAATCCATAAAAGTCTTCAGCAGACAAAATGTCACAGTACACGTTGCCTGTGAACTCCTATTGGAATTCCCTAAATTTTGTGATAGTATACACTTTTTGAAACTGTTTTTCCATATCATACGTAGTGACACATGGAACCATTTGTGAGAATGATCTAAAATCAGCTTGAAATTCCTTCTCTACTTTAGTTCTCAACGCCCGTTTGTACTGCTCTACAAAAAGTTTTAATGATATTTTTGAATGCACGTAACTATCAAAGAATGCATTAATACCCTCGCTCCGTAGGGTGGTTGACATACCAGCCCAAAATTTAATTTTCAAATAACATGGTACCCAACAACTTCTCTCATTATAGAGTCCACATAGCTAATCATGATCTTGCAATCCAAATTGATTGAGCATGTTCAACCACCCTTCCTCAAATTCTTGAATACTAAGTGTGTCATAGACCAATCCATGTATAACATGCATTATTGAACCTTTGTCAATGTGGCATCCAAACTTTTCGGGTAACTTTTTTAGTATGTGCCACAAGCACCATCTGTGTTTAGTGTTCGGGAAAACAATTTCAATTGCATTTTGCATTGCCTGATCTTGGTCCGTAATGATGCCATCGGGAGCCTTGCCATTCATGCATTCAAGCCATGTCCTAAATAACCAAACAAATGTGTTTGTATCTTCATTTGAAACCAACCCACAACCCAATAGAGTTGATTGCCCATGGTGATTTACGCCTACAAAAGGAGCGAACGACATATCGTGCTTGTTAGTCAGTTATGTGGTGTCAAAAGTCACGACATCACCAAATTCCTTACACGCTTCTCTACTTCTATTATTTGCCCAAAACACGTTTCTCAACCTACACTCTTCATTCAAGTCCATACTGAAAAAAAAACCAGGACTACGTGCTTGCATTTTGGAGAAATATGCTTGTATTGCAGTAGCGTCCCCTTGACCAAGTCTTAAACGCCGCACTTTATCAATGAAATTTCTGCAATCCTTTTCAACGCATGTCATGTTATCGAAACAGCTTGCCTCCACTACAGTTGAATTATAGCTTTTATGCATAGGGATTCTTGCTATGTCATTCACCTCAAGTCGTCTTTTAATATGTTCACTAAGTTGTCGATTGCATCTATACAAGGCTTGTTTTATGGTTGTGCTCTAAATGTACAACATTTATTCTAAATATTCCACGGGTATCAGAACATGCAGTTAACCTCGCTTTACACCCTGTCTCAATGGTTTGTGTAGGATTCAAAGATGTTTGGTTGTTACGACCTCGTTGACCTTCTCGACTACAAGTAAAACTCACATACCGTACCATCCCGTCATCTCCCCTCTTCGTGTTTCGTTTTCTAACAGAAACCCTACTTGGTAAGCATATTTTTTGTAGAATTCAAATACCTCTATATTATCCGCAAATTTCATACCAACCTCAGGCACAATAATCTCATTTTCAACAACTAACATTTTCCCATCCAAACCATCGTCGCTCATAAAATCAGATATAACCTCCACTCCTACAAGGAAACCACAAACTCAAATGAATTAACAACATGCAGTTTTTTTTGTATTTACATCACTCAGCAGAAAAAAAACAGGGTAATACACATCAAATTATAGGCAACACCAAACAATGTTACGACCTTCAAAACTATCTTAGATGCACATAGGTAATCAATCCACATCTTCTACAAATAAACACAGAAATCAGAAGCAGATAGCATTCCACACACACACACACACACACACACACAAATGTGAATTATAATGAGATCAGAAAATCATAGAATACGCTTCACAAATAATTAACTTTACTTTTTGCCTTAGCTCCCAGGCCCTCTCCCTCCCAATTAACCTTCCAACAAACAAAGTTTACTGCAGCTATTATGAATTCATTACCAGAGTTAAGTAAAAAGAATGAACAAAAATAACCATTTAATTTTTTCATTAATTCTAAGTCTCATAATTTTTACTTAATAAAATTAATTGGCAACTGGTAATTTAGCATTACACACATGCCTTCTATTAATCGAATTGTATTTTTCTTAATACTTGAATACTAGACGATATTGAATCTATGCTAATTTCAAATCTTGTGATAAAACCCAAGACTATTCATTAGAACATAACTTAATACGAAAAAATGATCCCAATAGTATCAACATAGCACCTCAAATTCCAAATTTATCTAACGCATAATATCAAAGGAAGCAGTAGAAACGAAAACTTCAAAGATTACTATGAGCAGCATACCATCGCAGGGGACCTTGTCAGCCGTGTAGTTGGACATATTACGTGAATCTCCTCCAATATGGGGTCTCCTTCTGTGCATTGGGCAGAGGAACTTACGTAAAATACGTACAATTTAAACTCCATATAATACAGTAAAAAGTTGGGCAATGCTATACATTACCAATCGGACCAGCGATGCCTTCCAATTCCTCGACGAGCACATCAGAAAATTCGAAATACTAGTTTGATGGTCCGTCCATTGGTCACTCACCATACCTATGCGCTTTTCCTTCGGTCGCCGTCAACCGGAGGAGCTTCAGATAGAAGGATGAAGGAAGGTTTTTAGGTAGGTTTGAAGGTCGGGTTCGAAGGTTCTGTACAGAGGATAGAGGGAGTGGGAATGGCCGAATGGGGAGGGAAAGAGAAATAATGGGTAGGGTTTGGGTTCGAAATCGGGGGTTTTGTTTTTCAGGCTTCCCGGTCTTTTTTTGGCTGCGAGAAATTGAGTTCAAAATGTGGGATGTCCAATTTCTCGCCACCTCAACATTATGGATGGCTTTATGGACAATGTAATATACATCTAGCAAAATCCTAATAGGATTAACAATTAAACGGGCTCCTCTACCTCTCGCCCGTCGGGCATTTTCTCATTCCGTACCTATCATGTTATTCATTTAAGACATGGAGGGGCGATTGACCCATTTATGTACCCATTTAATTAATTAATTAATTTTTTTTAATTTTTGATAATTCATTTTATTGCTCCCATTCGTTTAAGTGAGATAATAATATCGTTATTAAATTTTTTGATTAATTTATTTATTTTTAGAAGTTAAATTATTCAAATATATTTGGTAAACTAAGGTTTCTATTGTTTTTTATATTTTTTAGATAATCTTAGTTGTCATCTTCTATTGAAATTAATGAAATTTTGTGGAGTTATTCCATTTAAAGTATTGAATTCTTTAAAAAAATAAATTAAAAAATAAATGGGGAGGGGAAGGGACCCCTGTTATTTGTACCCGACCTGATTATCCGATTAAACGGGTAATCCACATCCTCATTCGGGGTGGGCCTTGTGAATATCGATTTTGACGGATATTTTTGTCATTCATAATAAGTGGATCTCTGAATATGTTCCATTTTTGAGTTGCTATCAACTTTTAAAAGAGAAGCAACATGATTATGGGACAAATTTATTTGGAAATGTAAAACAGATTAGTTTTATACGTTCGCATAGAATTGAACATAAGCTCAATAACATTAAAAGGGTATTGGAGTTTAATAATTTGATTGAAAAAAAAAATTAAATTTAAGAGATTATGTAAGATTTTACCGAAAATTTTTGACCGTCAATAAAGTGAAATTAATATTTAAATACACATAGTCCTTGTGTGGCAGGGACACAATTCTAAATTTTTATCAAAATCAAAGTCAACTATTAATTTTAAACATATATTTCGTGAAATTCACAACTTTTCAACAACGCATTTCATCAATTTTTATCAATATTTGTTAAAAATATATATTTTATTTCCCACTAAGGGATATAATATATATATATTTTTGCTTTATCTTGATATATTGCATGCTCCACCATTTCTTGTTATCTTTGTTCTAGGGACGGAGCCAGCACCCAACGAGCCTGCGCGGCCGCCCATGCTGGCTCCAGTGGGAAAAGAATTTCACATTAATGAAGTTATTATGTTAAAAATGTCAAACTGTATTAACTATTGACAAAAGTGGTCGCGGCTCATTTGGTAGGGTGCAAGTTTTGCAAGTGAAAGGGTCCTAGTTCGATTCTTCTCCTTTTTCAATTCTTCTTTTAATTTTTCAAACACAATAAATAATAGTTTAATAAATGTATAGTATTTTGTTTTAATTTACACCGATATGGTTTATGGGGTTCAATTCCCTTCACCTCCTCTTCTTCTTTTTGATTTTTTAAAACAATAAATAATAATTAAACAATTATATATTATTAGATTTTATCAATTTGTTTTATAAAATTCAAATTTGGACAATTTAAATACTGTTAATTATTCTTTTAAGAGTTCGAAAAAAAAGATTTCTTTTTTGGATAAAAATAGCTTTAAAAATCATTGCTTAAAAAATTTATTGACTGAAATTATTACTTCATAATATATACTTTAATTGTTAAGTATATCAATTTATTTTGTAAAATTCTTTGTTATTTTAAGAGTTTGAAAAATACATTTCTTTTTGGGAGCAAAAATAGCTCTAAAATTCGTTGTTTTTAAATTTTTGTCTTTATCGATTAACCAATACTTTACATATAAACTTCATCTTGTCTCGCTTAACTTCATAAATATTTGAAACTTGATAATATGTATATGATTCAAAAAATGTATTTTTATTCCTTATTATTTTGGATTGTATTGAATTATATTTTAATATTTATATATTGATTGGAGATTCTTTTCATATAAATTAGTTAAATATTAGTAAACAATATCGCTCGGTGTTTGATAAATGCTCGATGCTCCGCCCTAGCTCACTCAAGCGGTTGGATTCGTCCCTGCTTTGTTCCCACCATTATTGACTTATTCCAGCTGCGTTCCATATGGTATCCATATGTCAAAGGTTGATAGACATTCTTGTCTTTTTCAATTAGCAATAAAATTAGAATTCAATGGATGGTCATATTCGGGAGTAATCAATATATTCATAACGAAAATTAATGTTGTCTTTAGACCATAAGTAGAACCATTAATGATGTGACAAATTTTGGTAGAGTTTAGATTTTTGGGAACATTTTATTCTCTATAATTACATTTTATTTAGTGCTAACTAGCTAACTGTATTTTAATTTTGGTCAATACAATTGTTTAACTTGATTTCAATTGAAAAACTCCGTTTGATTCAATCATTTGCACTAATGGAGATCAATTATGTAATATTCAAAAAAATGTGATCATCATTTATTTCATTAAAATTGTACTTATTTTACTTCTTCAGCTAATGACCACGTGTAATGATGGTCATTCGTTAAATATCACATTATTGGTTTCTGTCAATTTAACTGGATGAAGTTACCTTAAATAAAATAAACTTAAAATGTAGTTACTTGATAGAAATAAAATTAAAGTGTTCATATTAAATCGAAATTAAATTAAAATGTAGTTACCTGATTAAACAAAATTAAAGTATAGTTACTTGATTGATATTATGATAAAAGTATAGATACTGTGAATGAAATTAACATTTTAGAATTTCATTTATTGTGCCGAGTGAATAACAATGCTACACTGCCATGGAAAATTTCAAAGACTCCATACAAGGGGACAGTTGATTGATTATCACCAAATTCAAGCAGAATTCTATAATTTCAATTTTTCACGAAACTATCACATTTGACCGTCTTAAGAAACAAAAGTGTAACTTAAGAGTAATTTCTTGATTAAGAGCATGTCCAGTTGAGATTTCACATTGGTTTAGTGATTCAACAACTTTAAATCTCTTCTTTCTCTAGAGGAAGATCGTATCACTTAACTGATCTTCCAACAAACATTCACACTTCAGTAAATAAAGTAAAGAATGTTTTAATTCCTCGTGCTTATTAGTTATAGCTACAAGAGCTAGTTGTAGTTGGTGAACAAAATAATGAATATAGAAACTAATGGGTTCTCTTTCGAAATAAAGGGCTTTGAGACCATTATACTCTTGTAGCATCATAACCTTGACATCTTAAACTATATATACTCTAGTTTAATTTAGAGAATAAGTGATCGATAGGAGCCTTAGTAAGCGAGATATGGTACTTGACACATGTTCAATACCAGTAAAATGTTTCGCTACTATCCCTTCTTATTCAAATAATGCAAAACAATTGACATTTGATATCCATCACAATAACATCGAGTTTCAAAGGCAATAGCACTTGGATATCCTTTGAATACTATGTGACATTAACTGGAGATTTTTTGGGAGCATTCTTCAAAGAAACAACCATAATCTCATCATTTGGATCACTTAACAACTACAATAATTCAAGAAAATTCCCTTGACTTTTTTTTTTTACTATTTAATTTTAAAAATAATAATAAAAGCAAAATACAACATCTTTTTGCTATTGTATTCCAACTAAACGGGAATGTCATTAATTTAAAAAGGATTGAATCCCTTTAATGATGAATCTTCAAATTCTTTCTTTGGACACACATGATTTTGAGGCTGATATGGACCCCTTTGTGCATATGCTCTTCAAATTTAATGTGATCCATGGAACAAAGGCAACGAATACAAGTTCGAGCAAAGATCCGTTGATTGTCAAAAAAGGGCCGATGACTCGATTGCGAGCAAAGAGGGTCAAAGAAGCAATGAGATTGCTTGTTCAAGTTGCATTGGATGAAATGTCGATCTTGACGAATAAAGGAACAAGTTTCATGTTGGTCTTGGGTGAAAATTTGAAGTGGATCAACTTGTTTCGAATAGCGGACAGAGGGCCTAAAACGGTGAACTGTGTGACTGCAGAGTTCACATTAGTATGCGGTTGCATGCCTATATTCAGAGAGTCAACTTGGGGATAAACTATGATCCATGCGACCACACTATAATACACTCTGCATTTGCATAGTTTAGCGATTTTTTTCATTTTTCGTAAAATCTTTTAATTCTAGTAAAACTCTATTTTTATGGTAATTTTTATAATTTTTTAGACTTTTATTCCTTTTTAATTAGGTTTTAGGAGCTTCCCATAAATATGACTCATTATTTACAATGTAAAATAACATTCATTTATATCAATTGAGAGATTAATTTTGTGAGCATATTTTACTTTCAATTCCTAGTTCTTCATTGAACAAATTTCGAACTTATCAAGAATTACGTTCTTGTGGTGTTCAAATCATCCGGGTGAGGTTTTCGAGTCTTGTAATCAAGGGGTCAATAGATTGTCAACGATTGTTGGTTACTTTATTCAATATTCTTGAGTCAAACTCAAAACTTTGATTTTTTTATTTTCTTGGATTGTGATTCAATCTCGTATGGGTTTCATTGCTTTAATTGCTACATAGGTTTGCGTAAGTTGGTATAAGAGTTTAGGCTCCAAAAATCAAGACCATATCCCTTTTTTGTTGAGTTTTCTTTTTCCTATGTGTTCTTTGCATTCTTCGTCTTTTGGATCTTGACTCCATAAAAGTTTCCAAAAAACTTCAAAAATAGTTTGTGTGCTCATTTAGCATTCAAATCAGTTTTTATTTTTTTTCCCTGGTTTTATAATCGAATTTTTGAGTTAAAAAAATATGAAATTTCAAATATATATATTATTTCGAAAATTGCCAACAGCATACAAATTCATATTCTTTGAGTCCCATCCAACCCAAAATTCAAGAACCTCTTTCTTGAATTAATAATAGTTTCCATTCAAAGTGTCAAAGTCTTTTTTTTTGGAGTCTTCTAAAGTTATAAATTTCACTCACATTCTAGTTTGAATTCTTCGAGAATAAGACTTGGATGAGTTCATGTTAGTTCTTTCAGGCACTTGGGCAAAAGCATTGAGTGAAGAAAAGGTAAGAGTGACGAGACTAATAGAGGGAAAAGGTCAAATTGAGTAATACCTGAGCGTATACCTGTAAGGCATATATTATTTTAGATTTAGAATGACTGACAGGGATGATAATACCTCATGTAGGAACAACAACCAAGTCAATATGTCAGAAGAGTAGATACGGCAATTTAAGAGACTGTTTGAAGATGTGAGGGACAGGTTGGATGGACAGAAGGGATGGATGGAGGGGCAAGACCCAGTGCTTGCCAATTTTCATAGGGAAGTTCCCAATGTAAGGAGGTAAGGTAGGTTG